TTTAGCGGTACGGTCGCACATTGTACTCAATTGAGCGATTCAATTGAACGATTAATCAATCTACATAAATCTATACATCTATAATCTACCTGATTTTTAATGTATAATCGAACACTCTAACTACCAGCGAATCTCCCTTACTAGTCTTGCGTATCTCCTCCCTTTGCAGCGCTAATAATACAGCCTCCTCTACCTTGTATAGAATTACCTCCTCTCTCTCCTTTTTATATACTACTATAAAGGCGGCTTCGTCCTCTACCCTATATACTAGCTTAAGATTAGCGGCGGTTAGCCTTATCCTCTACCTCTAAATTAATTTCTTCTTAGCCAAACGCTATTCGCTATATATTTGGCCGTACTTGTATCGATACTATAGGATTACGACCGTAGGATAGCTCTAATATTAGGCGTTGGCTATAAGTACGAAGGGGTTGTAATATTTATATATATTATATATACGCTAGCGCTGTTAATAGAGGAGGTTATATAGAAATAGGTACGCTAGACCGGGGAATTCGAGGATTAAGTGCAAATAGCGTATTAATACAAGGGCGGGCTCTTTAGTATTTAATACAATCGAAATCGTAGTATCGTAAATACTAATCATCCTTAAGGAAGCTCCTCTCCAGCTACTAATATAAGTAAAAATCTTTCTTACTTAGAGTCAAAGGGCTAATATAGTTAAGAAGTCGCTCCAAAAGCATATAAGAATAGGGTATACTGTATTACCGAATAAAAAAGTATATATAGGGCGGTAAATTATCGGGGTGGGGGTTGCGGTTGGTCGGTACTTATCCCAGAGCAATACGATATTAATTCAAAACCATACCCAAAACTCTCTAACAAACGTTATAAGGTACTATATCTATTTAATATTTATTTATAAATCTATATTTAAGGCGGGCTCTCTAATCTTATAGTAACTCTATAATCGAAATTTCTATAGATTTAATTATTTTAAAAGACTAGGTAATAATATAATTGATAAGGCTATTACCTATATTGGAAGGATAATTAATATATAGGGTTTAGTATAGGAATCAGCATAATATACACATTTAGGGACTACTACTTACCTATAATAATAAATCCCTTTAGGTAGCGGCTAACTAATTCAATTGGCGATATAATCCTAATACTAAAATTGAATTACTTATTAGTATAATACGCTAACCACTCCTCCTTTACTAATATTAGAATATTTTTAATATAATAAAGGATTTCGTCTTATTGTACAAAGAAGCTCGTAAATCTCTCGTATACAATATAAAAGTCTTTAACCGTAGTAGTATAAATAATATATACCTAAAGATTATACAATCCCTACCTTAAATACTCTACGAGAGGCGGAGCAGAACCAATACAATTATTACCGCTAGCAATTCGATTTAAGCGTCTAATAATCATATAGCTTAGAGTATTAACCTCATCTTCATCGATATCAATATTATTATTCTGGGAAGGCCGGTTCCGCCCGGCCTCTTATACTCATTGATTAGCGGCAATTGCTCGGGTGATAGTAGCGGCAACTATCTTGCTCTATTTCTCCTTAACCTTCTTAATAAAATTCTTATTAATATAAAAAATATAAAATTAGGACTTTACCTAGGGATAAACCTTCTTAATAGAAATTCGTATTATAGTATTAAAGTTAATAATAGTAATAAAAGGGGGGGTAGCGCTAATGTATTAATAATAAATATTAATTTATACTATTAACTAATCGAATCCCTCTTGTATTTTAGTATTAATAAAGCTAAAAGCGCAATTAAATGTATAATTAAGGCTATTCTTACTAATAACTTAGAAGAAGAAGAATCCCTTATTTTTAGTCTTATATATATTATTACACATCTATACTTAGGGGTTGAACTTTTATTACTCCTTATACTATAAATAAATCTAAGAAAAACAATTTAATTTTATATTCATTGTTAACCTATTTAACGGTATACTAAATACTCTATTTATTAAACTCTTTAAGGGTTGTTTAAAACAGGTTATAATTAGTAATTGCCTCCCTTTTTAGCGTATAACGAAAGTTCTTAAACTGTTTTTTAATAAAGATAAGGCCGAAGAATTTAGTATATACATCTTTAGTGATCTTGCAATTTATAATAATAGGTCTAGTAAAGTATATACGTACGAAAGCCTTATACTCATCTTTAAAGTTACTACGGATTTAAGGGATAATACCGGGGGGGCAATTATAATAATCCTCTTTGAATATGAATATCTATTTGCGACCGTATACTACTAGCGATTTAGTATACCCCTTCTAAGGGTAGTTTCTTTTACTAATTAAAATTAATCGAGCATATTCTTTACTATAGCGAATAAGGCTAAATAAATATTGAAATTTAATTTTAGTCGGACTAGAGCTATCAGCAGTATAATTGGAAGAGTGCGTTTTAATATAACTATAGCCTTGAAACGAACCCTATTAATATAGTAATATTTGGAAACTCTTGAAAGTATCGTACTAGGTTGTAAGTATAGGAATTACAATGGGCTAGGGATTAATAACTTTATTACCGTCTTTATTATTATTATTAGACTCGCTATCGCTAGAGTCGCTAGAGTGGTTAGAATCGCTAGAATCGCTAGAATCGCTACTTAAAGGAATCTTATACAATTCGATTTCAATTTGGGTAGAAGTAGGCTCGATTAGGGTAATATTCGTTAGTTAACTGGGATCGCCCGCGCTACGGTCGTATACGGGTTGGGTCGTTGCATCGGCTATCTACATTACGGTTAGTTAGGGAAATACACTAAAAAGTAATGCACCAATCCGTACCGTCGACTAAATGAGAGCGCTTTATTGACTTAGCGATAACTAGCGATGCGCGATATAGTAGATTAATAAGGGTAACGAGGGTAATAATAGGTAATTTAGTAGAGGAAGTAATATAATAAAGTATATACTAGAATAATTGCTAAGTTAGATTGGTTGGGTGGCTAGTGCAGTACGAGGGTGGCTAGTACAGCCCCCAGATGGGTGTAATGGGTTGAAATCTAGGAGCTTGGCGGGCGAGGTACGAGCGGGACTGGTGCGGGTCGGTGGTGGGCGTGCAGGGTTAGGGTTAGACATGGGGAAAAATGTGGGGTACAGTCCGACAAGACGTTTCTAACAGTACAAGTAGACCACCTCTAAATTAATAAATACTATTAACCTAATAGCTATTAATAAATTAATTACTAAAGAAAACGTTTAGGACGTTCTCTCCCGGATAGTATTTAATAGAATTCCGAGTGTCGATTAGTATTTAAATAGATTTTCAAAGTTATATAAGTAATTATTCCGAAAGGCAATAATATATTTAATAACCGCTAGCCTTCGGCTCGAATAGTTCCTATAATAATTTAAGGATATAAATGTAATTATCCTTAAGAAGCCCGGAAAAAGCGCTACCTAATAAAAGCTAATGGGCGTATAGAGGCTCATATTGCTACTTAATAACATTGAAAAATCCTTCGAAATTCTTATTGAAGCGTGCTTTAACTATGCAGAGAAGGTGGATGACTTTCACAGTCTGGGGGTTCCTGAACCCACATCCACCGGAGCGGCCTGTTGAAGGACGGTTCGTCTATAGCCAACTTTCTTTATTAAAGTTTCTTGCGCTCTCATTGGCTCAAAGCGTGGCACGGCCCTACAACTGGTCAGGGCGTCTTGCCAAGCCACTTTCTCATTGGTCAACTCGCCAACAGTGTCGACAGCAGTCTGCGTTAGAATACACTGGGTCCTTCCGTTTCTGAAATCCTTCACGATATCGCCTATCGATAAGGTTTTCGTCGTCATCTTTGCTACTCGTCAGGTCTTCAAAACCGACCATCTGACTAGGGGGCGAGCCACTAGTCAGGGACAGCGACTCGTACATAAATAGCAATTCGTACCGGAAACTGGGGGTACCTCTCTACACCGCTATTTTACTAGCAAATGAAAGTAGATCTAGTCAACAGCATATTTTTTTAGTTGCATACAACCAAATTCCCCGCACTGCCCAACACTCTGGATATACACCGCCCATTTGCACTCTTTTGTACTCAAACCGCTTACACTCTAAAATGCCTACTTGAGTTGATAATACTAATTATTATACCCATATTTACGTATAATCGGTCTTGATTATATTCAACCCCCCTTATTCAATCCCTCTATCTCTCTACTGTATTGCCTCCCTCTATCTTACTATTAGACTACCCTCCCACCGCTATATCCCCTATCTATCGCGCTATACCTTATCGACCTCGCAAATCCGCCGGCGGTTCTAAACGCCTTGTACTAATGCCTATTGACTTGACTTCTAATATTGAAGATGTTGTTGGCGATGCTTAGAAGACGTTGCTAGTAGAAGGGAGAGTCCAAACTGCCGTAAAAGCATTTTAGAACAATAGATTCAAGACTATAGTAAATATAGTTAAGGTATTTTAAGCTCTATATAAACAAATTATCAGCCGCTGCAAGGGAGCATACTCCGTAGATAGGAATAGGGGTTTTAATAAACTATTAACTAGAGAGGAGGATTTAGCATTATAAACTTAGGTTAATATACAAATATTAATTGGTTAGTATTATTATTACTCAAATACTTTAAGAAGTAAGCTAATTAGTAATACTAGGCATTGAAATTACGCTAGCAAGGCTAACATCTATAGTAACTACCATTATTAAACTTAACTATAATAATGGTAGCGGCGAGCGTATACTAAGAGCCGCAGTTCACTAAGTACAATGATATTTATAAGAGGGAGACTTCTACAATATACGTACAAAGTCTATAGTATAGGTACGTAAGGCTTCACAGACTAAGGTAGATATAGAAGAGGTCTTTTATCTCTTCTATAATACTATTACCAAGTACAACGTTAAGCTAAACAATATATAGAATAGGGACAAATCTAGTTTTAGGGTCGGCGTATTAGATAAGGTCTATTATATATAGATTTATAGTAAGATAACCGAAGTATAATCCGTCAACCCTAATTAGAGGATTCTTATTACTATCCTTAAGGCTATTTCTACATCTAATTGGACCATCCCTCCCTTCGTCTTACTTCCCAGCGTTAATATTATATACAAATATATTAATAATTCCCTTAATGATGGGACAATTATCGCTACCTCCCTACGAAGTTATATAAATAATTAATATATACTTAATTAGTTCAAGCACTAGGAAGAGTACTCTCGCCCCCTTAATAAAGAGGAGAGGCGAATCTTAGTACTAAATAACTATAGTAGTCACTATACTATTGAATTCCATGAGTAATGTAGGAGGAATAATACTATACTCTTTCTCTTACCCCCTTATTCAATGCACTTCCTTCAACCTCTCGACGTTGGGATCTTTTAAATCTATAAATACTTTTATTAAGTTAATATATATAAGAAGCTAGACTTTCTTAATAGTCTAAAAGTAGTACGCAAGAAGGTTATAAAGACAAAGAACGCCTACTCTACTTAGAAGCGTACTGGCTTAAATTAAATCCCTTTAATCCTAATTTTATACTTTCAAACCTTTGCGATCCATTAACCTCGTTAATAAATAAAGAATATATTAAGTAAAGACGAGGGTATATTACTCGTCTCGCTGAGCAGGGGATTGTTAATTTTAGTATAGAAATAGAAAGACTATAATTTCGTATACTAAGAGAGGTATCCAACGGAGCTATTATACTAAGCAGTCCCCCCATTACAGATAGTACTACTATAGTAAATAAGCTCCCTACAATATTAAAGCCTTCTATACTAAAGTAAAAGGGTTACTCTTAAATAGATTAGAGTAGTGCAATTATACTAATACTCAACCTCCCTTCTATTAAAGAGTATAGTAACTATATCGATCAACGGATTTTATCTACAATTAAGAATAATTGCACTATATCACCAACGGTTTCACACATACTTACTAAGCGAAATAAGGCCAATAATACTCTTAATCTAATAGCCGTAAGAGAGGTTAAACTTAAGCGCAAACGCAAAGAGGAAGTAATTAAAGAAGTACTATATAATTCTCGTAATACTAACCGCTTACTAGGACGTAGCAGTACTATTATTATTAGAAACGGCCGGTTACGCGATACAACGGATGAATACCAGCGTATTACTCTTACTAAGAAAGAAGACGAGTATATATATAACCGTAAACTTTAATAAGAGTAAAATATATTAAAGGGATGGATTAGTAGTTTCGTTACTATACAAAAGGTATAGATAGTCAGCGAATATTCACGGTTACACATACTCAAAACTCACAGAAGGGAGATTCAAAAGTATACTAAACGATACACTACACAGCTCTCTAACCTTAACTAGCTAATCAACAAATACCGTAAAAAGAGAGTCAACCGCTAGAATTACTACCTCTCAAAGAAATAGAAGGCTATAAATAAGGAGGTTAAGTAATTAAAATCTAACCGTACCTATACTATATATAACGTTACTCTACCCTTATATTAGCAATCGCCCGGTGATCTTCCTAAACTACATAATCTATAAATATTTAATAAAGTAAGAAAGAAAGTAGCAGATAATACTATTAACGTATAATTAACTAGTAAGGGTAATATCCTATTTACAAAGGAGGAAGAAACTAAAGTTATTAAAGATAACAAACTAATAAATATATAAAAAGATCCCGACTAGTAGCATTCCAAGAACAAACGGTGGGCACAAATAAATCAAAAAGACGAAGAGTATAAGGAGTATAATAATAAAACTATTTACAACGACGACGACGACAATAATAAAGAGGAGGAGGGATATGGGGATTCTAATTGCGAGGAGGTTGAATATAACTTATAGTATAAATAATCTACATCACCAGATTCATACGCATGCAAAATAACGATAATTTTACGTGTTAGTGCATATACTAGTCTTATCAGCGATAATGGATACGACTAAAAAATATGGATATATTACTAAATAAAATTATTAGCTCCGGATGGGTAACTTCCGTATACTAGTTAAAATGCGTGTAGAGTAAATACCCCGCTCGGTACGAATCGCTGTTCATATATAAGTCGCTATCCCTAACTAGTGGCTCGCCCCCTAGTTAGATGGTCGGTTTTGAAGACCTGACGAGTACCTCTATCAAGCAATTCCAATGAAGCAATTCCAATGAAGCAATGAAGCACTATGCGCGAAGGGGTGAGGACGGCTGTAGCCGTCCGAATGAGGAGGCAAGAGATGCAGAAATCCACGCTTCAGTAATACAGCGGGCGTTGCTTGAACTAGGGATCCAGCATCGCATCGGTGTCTGAAAACTATTTTGATTTTGAGATTTAGGTAGGTAATCAAAAAGTTTAACCTTCTACCGGAGGGCTAAATAGGTAATTAAGTAGGCTATTTAATGGAATTTATAGTCTACGTAATTATTAATACGGTCTATATAGTTTAGAAATTTAGAATTGTAACATTTCTTATACTCTTCGATTTAAAGGGCGCATTCGATAGGGTTAATTATAGGTAGCTTTCATATATCCTATAAGAAATATAATTCCTAATATAAATTATTAAATAGGTAGCGAACTTCGTTATAGATAGAAAAGGCTCTCTCTTCTTCAACGACGAGATATTTTACCCCTACGCTATTATAATAAATGTACTTTAAAACTCACCCCTCTCCCTTATTCTTTTCATCTTTTTTATTACCCTATTATATTGGAAGTTGATAATAATCCCGAATATAATCATAGTCAATTTCGCGGATAATAATAATACTATTATAATAATCCGTACTACCGAAGAGAATTACTAGGTCGGAGCGAGAGGTATAGAATTCGAAGTAAAGAAAATTGAATTAATATATTTTATATAAATAAAAGCACTAAGGACGGAAACTTGCTAATTTAAGGATATAATATTTTAATTAATAAAAGTAATAAAATTCCTAGGGGTTCAAAAATACAGTTCCCCTGGGCGGAGCTAAAGTCCAGGGGAGACAGACAGGCGCCTTGGAAATTACTTAGTCCCTTTTTTTTTTAGATAAAAAAAAAAAAAAAAAAAAAAAAACTCAAAGATGAACTAAACAGATGACCTTGTTAAAAGGTAATACTAATAATAACCATTGAGCTATAAAGCTCAAATAGTTTCTTAAATATATAGTTGGATTTGCTCTTTGATATTACTAATTCTAGAGAAAAGAGAAAAAAAAAAAGAAAAAAAAAAAACGAACGCAAAATTTTAAAATTTTCTTTTTTCATTTTTTCTCTTTTCTAGAAATTTCAATTTTTAACCCTAACCCTAACCCTTTTCTCAGATCTTCAGGGTTAAAGGTCTAGTCTGGGACTTGGTCATTTCCAGGACTTGGTCATTTCTGGGACTTGGTCATTTCTGAGACCTGACGGTCGCATTTGCTACCAAAATCGTCATTTTCAACTTCTTTCGCTTTTATCTCTTCAACCAACGTATACACCAAGGTACAACCAGTACCAAAATGACCGCCTTTTTCTTCTCGTCATTCCAGCACCAAGTGCATTTTGATGTACGCGACGGTCGCGGAGCAATCGCTATTGCAAAGGAAAAAGTGACCTTTTCAAGCTGCTATTTAAACCGTGTCTTGCTTGGCGCCAAGATTGCCTATTTGGGTCTGCCAAGCACGTGCCAAGACGGGTAATTTTCTGCATTCTGGCCTATTATAGACAGATACGCCGCGCCTTCCTCGCTTGCGTTGAAAGTGGGCCTATGGACTACGACCTTTAGTGCGGATCTTCCGTGTTACCGGGGCCCACGACAACGCTTGAGCTCTCTGGAAGGTATGGGCGCCTCAATTAAACTATAAATTTGGTTACCGAATTTATACGGAAATTGCAAAATAGAAAATAAGGATTTAGACGAATATACTTATAGAATTAGTAATAAAAGTTTAGCGTTGCTCCTGTACTTAGGTAAAAGAGATATATATTAAATATATTTGTAGTACTATTATATATAGAGCCTTAATATTCCATTAATTAACTAAAATCTATAGGAAACTATATAGGATTGTAATTAAGTTAGTAAAATATTGAACTAAATATTTGAAAGTTATTACTAGAGTATATAAAGCTAGGCTAATATAGAACCTAAAGATAGAAACCCTTTATCTACTATTTAACTTTTACTTTAATAAAAAAGTCTAGGCTTTTAAAGAAAGGCTCGCCCGTATAAATTGAGTAAGGTTTATTTAGGGAATAATAACTTAAGTAGTTAATTATATTTAAACACAATAGGCCAGAAGTTAACTACCTACTAATAAGTTAAAAAGTAATATTTTGAAAATTAAGTGGGTTAAAGTGTAGGTATTAACGGAGAAATTACTAATCATTGCACCTAGTCCCCCCTTGGAATTAGGGACCCTACTATTACTATTGCAAATCCCAAAACTTACAACTATTAACCGAGAGGAGTACTTAAAGGATATAACAAATAGAGAATAGGTATTGCACTATAATTATTATTCAATAGTAGTATTAATTAAATTAAATCGACGGTAAAAATTTACTATTACCGACCTTACCCCTAAGTTTAGTAGCGAAGCGATCTAATAATATATTGTTGGTACAAAGAAGGAAAAGAAAAGAAAGAAAGTTCGAATACTAGAAGAAGAAAATAATAATGGACTATACCTGCTAACTAAAATAAAGAACTCCCTCCTAGTTTCAACTAGAATAAAAGTTATAGGACTCCGGGCCTTTCTTTTCCGGAGAAGGTACCGAGCGTCTAGATACTTATTTACGCTTATAAGTTAGAAAAAAAGACTTTCGTTTATATCGTTCTGGACTATTTTAATACGGAAGGCTTTTCTTAAAAAAATCCGTATAATTGGCTACTAATAAAACAAGAATTCCGGAACTACCTAAATAATAGAATTAAAATCAAAAGAATTCTATTATGAGTATTAAGGTTGGGTAAATTAAAAGAATACTATTTAATAATCGAATTAGAGGAGGAATAATCTAAAAAAATTGCAAAGTACTTTCAAAAAGGGAACAAACTATTAATAATATTAAAATTAGGAGAATGAAAGATAGGGAAGGGGCGATTATATTAACTACAGGTATTATTTAAACTATAACTATAATAAAAACTGAAGTACTGTCTATCTAACGTTTAATTACGCCTAAAAATTTCTTCGAGAAGCTCTATTATACGAATTTAATTTAT